ATTCACTTGGTAATTTATGTTCAGAATATTATTCAAAGGCAGAGAATGTAGTACAGTAATCAGATAACAGGTATTTGGGTTAAATGTTTTAGGCTGAATTCAATTTTATGCTGTGCTACTCAGCTCTGAAGCCCTTGGCCCTTGAAAATTGTTTTTGTGAAGATAAAAATGGATGGATGGATGGATGGATGGATGGAGAGAGAGAGAGAGAGAGAGAGAGAGAGAGAGAGAGAGAGAGAGAGAGAGAGAGAGAGAGATATCCCTGATTTTTAGAGGAAGGACAGCAATCAAATCCAAATTAAATCTAATCAAATGCATTGTTTTTTATTTCTTTTCTGCCCAGAAACTTCTCCAAAATAATACCATACAAACATCTAGATGCCCAAGGCATTTAAACATTAAAAATTGGGAGACTGGAACAATCCTTCAAGATGCATTGCACCATCAGGCCAAAGAGGTAATAAAAATTCTTAGATTTAGGTGTTGTTTTTTTCTAGCTCTCCAGCAGACCACACACAGTTGAAGTGGCCATAGCAGACTCTCCTCTATTCAGAGAAAGCTGAAGGAGATCCAATAATACTCTTAAATAACTGAAGGATTGTTATCTATTATCTCAAGTGGCGGCCACAACTGTTACTGTTACAAGCTTAAAATTACAGGAAGGCGTATCCCCATTAAAATTAGGAAAAACTGTATTAATGAAAGAAGTTGGCAGGGAAACAATTTGTCCAGGAAGGTAGCAGCCTTCCTTTCGCTATTCCTGCTTCAGCAGAGGTTGAGCAGGCATCTCTCAAGAATCCATTTGGATTCCTGTTCAGAAGACAAGCTGGAATGCTAGCGCTTCACTTTTGGCTTCTATCTCTAGAAGCTTGCATTCATTTGCCCCCATTTTTTTTAATTTACTGAACGCAAAAGTAAGAAATAAAAAGAATACACAAAATACATAAATAAATACATAAAAGAAAAAAAACTAAAAAGGGGCATGTTTTCACATACATACACACATAGCTGTACAGTAAGGATTTCAGTGAAAGGAAGCCATCATTTGTTACAGTCATCCATTCATTGACAAAATGATTATGTGCCATCAAACTGTTTTCAACATCAGCCATCACATACAGTAGGTAGATCTTCTCCCAGGATGTTCTATCTCCAACCTGGTCCTTCAGGTTTTCCAATGGTCCAGCCACCTTGCTGCTGGTGGTCCTATTCTTCTCATTCTTTACACCTTCCCCAGCAATAGAGCCTTTTCAAGGGAACTGGGTCTTTGTATAAGGTGTCTGAAGTAGGATAAGTTGAGCCTGGTCATTTGTACCTCAAGTGAAAACTCTGGGTTGATTTGCTCAATGATCCGTTGGTTTGTTTTCTTGGTTGTCCGTGTTATTCTCGGGAGTACAATCATCCATAATTAATCCATACTGATCTGAGATCCTGAGCAGATTTCTTCCATACTACACTTATTTCATGGTGTGGGCATTAAACCATCCCAAATGTTAAACCCTGCAGCTGTGCCTACTGCAGATTCTGGAAGTGTTTACTAACCCATCTCTCTTGCCTGCCTCTCTTTCCCAGGTTCTTAACTGTCAGAGCAAAGTTTGCCAGGGATCTCTCATGAATCCAAAAGGGTTAATTCGAGGTCCCCGAAATGAACCCATCCCCAGAGACAAGTTACTACTCCAAGCAACTGAGTTTATCCATCTTTTCTACAACACACTTCAAAAGTGAGTCAGGTTTTTTTGCTTATTTTGAGCTTCTGTCCTGTGATTTACTTCCTTTTGGCAATCTTGGAAGGTCTTTTTAAACGATCTTCCAGTCAGGTCCTTTAGGCTGTTATTGGTGTGATACAATTAGCACTAATTGTAGTGCTAGCAGAGCAATAAACTGCCTTTGTGTTGTCTTAAGTTTGTAAGTGAAACAGAAGGAAAAAGCAGGTGATCAGGGAAGGCATGTCTCAGAACACAGGAAAGAACATAGAAAGATTAAAGAAGATTTACACTTGAATTATGCCTTCAGACATCCAAGCTACTTTACATACAATCCTACGGACCACATCAAAAACAGATGTTTGGGGCTTCTGCAAGAAAGGGACAAGGGTCTTCCCGCTCTGACATCTTTGTGTAGATAATGCAAATTATATAATGATGTAACGATGCACATGACATTCTTGTGCCAGACACTTGTGGCAGGTGCAGTGACCCACACCTGCATTCTCAGCTCTTGTATCCTTGGCAAGTCAGATAAAGGGACAACTTCATAGATAGATAGTTCCACCACCTGCTCTCCTTAAGCCATTCTTTGATGCAGAGGGAGTCTGCAGCCATCCCACACTCCCTTTGAAAGGAAGAAACCTCTCATGTGCAAAAAGCTTTGCTTCCCAGGGATAGAGAGGAAGAGTGAAGAAATGAGTGCCTTGGGAGGGTTGACCTTGTTATCTCCAAATAGCTGCTGACAAGAGATTAGAAATTTAATGCTGAAAAACACAATTTCTGAACTCCAGGAGAGATCAAAAGAGGGGGAGAGAGCGATGAAGAGAAGCTAATAGGATCTGGCAGGACAGATGGAGGCCTCAGCAGGCCATTTTTGGCCTATAGAACTGAAATTTGTTTGGGTAATTATTCATTTAGAACCATAATAATCTAAGCAGTGCCCTGCTGGATCGGACCCCTGGCCAACCAACTAGCCAAGGAAGCCCATAGTCTCCCAGCAGATGGCCTCCAGAGATAGTCCCATGACTATTAAGGCTAAGAGCCATTGATCCCACGGCTGCTTTCTTTATATTCTGCATTGCAGGTAATATAATAACAGTCACATTATTTAGGGTCTTGCAAAATCTAGGAAGGATTTCCATTTGAGACCTTAGAGAGCTATGCATTTTCATGCTGACTGGGTTCACACACCCAGTATGGCATAACATAGTTTGCTTGGTTTTGGCTTAGTTCTGTGTGTGAACATAGCCATCTGGATTTGTTCTATGCACTATAGTGGATGAAAACAACGGCTTATCATACTGTGTGAACCCAGGTATTATATATCTGTTCAGATGAGATTCATATTCTTCAGTGTTTCTTGACTTCAGTCACTTTAAGAGGTGGCCAGGGAATTCTGGGTTGAAGTACATGCATGTTAAAATAGGCAAGGTTGGAAAACAACTGTGTTAGACCAAGACACTTCTGTGCCTGTTTATGGTTGGTGGAAGAATATTTAGCCATGCAACTGGAGAAGAGAAATGGAGCTGATGTTTCCCAAATATGCATGCACTTTTTTTAAAAAAATGTGCTGAGGGCAGTGGTGAAACAATTATATAAAACAGGCAGGATTACTTGTCATTGACGGTTCTCTCCTAGCACTAAGCATTGATTTATCATGTGCCATCAAGTTGTTTTTAACTCCTAACAATTACACAGATTTTCTCCCTCCTCTCCTCTGGTTTAATTGATTATGGCTTAAGCAGAGAATATGAAGCAGCTTCATTGCTGTTTATTGTTATTAATAAACCATGGTTTATGGCTTTTCAGTTTGAGAAACTACTGATTACAGGTAGTCCTCAACTTACAACAGTTCATTTAGTGACCAAAGTTACAATGGCACTGAAAAAAGTAACTTATGACCGCTTTCACACTTACAACTGTTGCAGCGTTCCCACGATCATGTGAACAGAATTCAGGCGCTTGGCAACTGATTCATATTTACAACGGTTACAGTGTCCCGGGGTTATACGATCCCTTTTTGCGATCTTCTGATAAGCAAAATCGATGGGGAAGCCAGATTCACTTAACAACCGTGTCACTAATTTAACAACTTCAGTAATTCACTTAACAACCGTGACAAGAAAGGTTGTAAAATGGGGCAATGTTCACTTAACAAATGTCTCCTTTAGCAACAGAGATTTGGGGTTCAATTGTGGTTGTAAATCGAGGACTATCTGTGTAGCTGATTAAACACACCATGGAGTATTAAATGGTTAAACCAAGTCATTAGGTGAAGGATCTCTATTATCTAGAAAGCTGTGTTTTAATCTTTGGAGCCGGAGTTTGCAGACATTTGCCGACTACTTCTAATCTTACAAGCAAACAACGATGTCATTGGTGCTGCAAGAAAAAAATGTCTCATTATTATGACTCCTGCAGCAATTTGTCAAGGTAACAAGAAGTTTTACAGGCTCTCTTCTCCTACCAGGAACGCCATCAATTTAGTTATAGCCAGTGCTTTTTTTCTAAAAAAAAAAAAAAAAAAGGTGCCGGAACTCACACACGTCATACAACCCGCTTTGCCTACCCTACAAGGTTCCATCCAAAAAAGGTGCCAGAACTCTGTTCTGGGCGTTCTATGAGAAAAAAAGCCCTGGTTATAGCTATAGGAAAGAATGATGGTTTTGAACATTCACTTGTTTCTTCTGTGCATCTCTTTGATTGGGAAATCCCTGAATCATTTTGGAAATCTTTCTGAATTAAGTTAACTCCCAATATTGCTTACTGTACTATAATAATAATAATAATAATAATAATAATAATAATAATAATAATAATAATAATAATAATAATGATGATGATGATGATGATGATGATGATGATGATGATGATGATGATGATGATGATGATGATGATGATAAAGTTGGAAGGGACCTTGGAGGTCATCTAGTCCAACCCCCTGCTCAGGCAGGAAACCCTATACCATTTCAGGCAAATGGCTGTCCAGTCTCTTCTTAAAAACTTCCAGTGTTGGAGCATTCACCGCTTCTGGAGGCAGGTTGTTCCACTGGTTAATTGTTCTCACTGTCAGGAAGTTTCTCCTTAGTTCTAGGTTGCTTCTCTCCTTGATCAGTTTCCACCCGTTGCTTCTCGTCCTGCCTCCAGGCGCCTTGGAGAATAGCTTGACTCCCTCTTCTTTGTGGCAGCCCCTGAGATACTGGAACAATGCTATCATGTCCCCCCTCGTCCTTCTCTTTGTTAAATTAGACATACTGTTCACCACTGTCACCATTTCCTATATTTTCTTTGCAGGGTAGAAACGGAAGAGCACACAACACGGCTGGAAGCAGTGGCTCAAGAGATAGAAAGAACAGGGACTTATCAACTCACCAAAGAAGAGCTTATCTTTGCCACAAAGCAAGCCTGGAGAAATGCTCCTCGGTGCATCGGGAGAATCCAGTGGTCCAATCTACAGGTGATCCATTTGCTTTTGCTCTTCAAGGCTTCCCAGATTCCACTGAAATAGCCAGAGTTCAGCTCATCCTATTCCATAGTGACACCTCCACAAAAATATAAGACAAAGAATAGAATTCTGGTCCAGCATGCTAGGACTATGTTTCAGATGCTGTGATGATGTCAATGATTTCACTTAGCAAGGTTCGAAGTAGGAAAGGGTTGGCACACATTTTATTGGACTTTACAAGCTAAGGAGAGATTTAAATTCTTGAATCTGCTTAACTGGATCCCCAATTGTCTGCCTTCTAGAAGGTCAGAATTTATAACCTGAAAAAGAGCACGTTTCAGAGAAAAATGAAAAAGATGAATAAGAATTGATATGTGAAATTGATACTCTTCCTTTGATCTTCTTCAACCGGGGTAGGCAACCTTGGCTCTTTTATGACTCGTGGACTTCACAATTCCTGGCTCAGGAATTCTGGGAGTTGAAGTCCACGAGTCATAAAAGAGCCAAGGTTGCCTATCCCTGTCCTAGGACAATGCCTCACAACATCAGCACCTGTAAGCTGTGCCTGGGGAATTCTGGGAGTAGAAGTCCACACAGGTTGAGGTTGAGAAATATTGTCCTAGAGAGAAGTTGGAGCTAAATAATCTATAAGTGCCCTTTTTGTGAGGATATTATCTGCAAAACATGATAAACTAACTAGTTTCTAAGATTCAAGTATGAATTATCGAAGAGTTATTTAAGATTGCAAAAGTTATATTTTTTGGATTGGGTTGGAAAGCGACCTTGGAAGCATGGAATAATATTAAGCTTTCTCATTTGCTAATTAATGCCTTTTAGGTGTTTGATGCTCGTAGTTGCACTAATGCTAAAGAAATGTTTGAACATCTTTGTCGCCATTTGGAGTATGCTACAAACGGAGGGAACATAAGGTATGAGCTGGGTTGTTTTTTTTTTAATATTTCATATGGATCTATAGACTCGCTGAGTAAGCTGTCATTCACCCCCACTCTCTTGAAACAGGTCCACCATCACTGTCTTCCCCCACCGGACTGATGGAAAGCACGACTTCCGAATATGGAATAATCAACTCATCAGGTATGCTGGCTACCAGATGCCAGATGGATCCATTGTGGGAGATCCAGCCAACGTGGAGTTTACACAGGTATATACAAAATAAATATTGAGAGTAGTGCGCTTTTATTTTTTTTTATTAAATTTATATTTATTTATATTTATTTATTTGTATCCCGCCTTTATTATTTTTATAAATAACTCAAGGTGTTGAACATATCCAAAATAACTTCCTCCTGTTTTCCCCATAACAACAATCCTGAGGAGAGAATGACTGGCCCAAAATAACCCAGCTGGCTTTTCTGCTAAGATAGGAGTTGAAGTCAATGGCCTCCTGCTTTCTACCCCAATGCTTAACCCAGTGGTGGCGAACCTATGGCACGGGTGCCAGAGGTGGCACTCGGAGCCCTCTCTGTGGGCACACGCACTGTCGCCCCAGTCCTAGGCTTTCAGCTGGGTTTTATAAACCTTTTTCGCTTTAGGCCTCCGCCGCCATGTGCAAAAAAAAAAAAAAAGGTTCAATCAGTCAATTTCAACTTCTTGCGGGGAAAAAAAAAGGTCTTGCAAAGTTGGAATTGATTGATTGAACTTTTTAGTCCCACCCAGTCTACCGTTACCACTTCAGCCACGCCACCCAATGGGCCACGCCCACTCAATGGGTCACACTCACCCGGCACTCGACGATGCATAAGTGGGTTTTGGGTTGCAGTTTGGGCACTCAGTCTCTAAAAGGTTCACCATCACTGCCTTAACCACTAGACCAGGGGTAGGCAACCTTGGCTCTTTTATGACTCGTGGACTTCAACTCCCAGTATGTCATATACCTAGGTCAGGGGTAGGCAACCTTGGCTCTTTTATGACTCATGGACTTCAACTCCCAGTATGTCATATACCTAGGTCAGGGGTAGGGAACCTTGGCTCTTTTATGACTCGTGGACTTCAACTCCCAGTATGTCATATACCTAGGTCAGGGGTAGGCAACCTTGGCTCTTTTATGACTCGTGGACTTCAACTCCCAGAATTCCTGAGCCAGCATGGCTTAGCATGGAAACCTCTCCCTTTCTCCTCAGCATGGCTGGCTCAGGAATTCTGGGAGTTGAAGTCCACGGGTCATAAAAGAGCCAAGGTTGCCTACCCCTGCACTAGACCAAACTGGCTCTATGCCGTCCATCTCCCTCGTGGCTTACAACATCTTAAAAGCACAATATAAAACAATGAGAGCATTAAAACATGAAAAACACTCAGCGTTAGCATTAAAGCCTTAAATATTAACAAGAGATTAAATAAAAGGGACCAATAAATGACTGGGATGGAGGTAGGATCTTCTAATCTACTAACCACCTCCAAAGTGGAACAGCCCCTATTGGGACCCCAGGCCATTTGGCGGAGCCAGGTTTTGTGGCCATTTCAGAAGACCAAGATGGTAAGGGCTGATCTGACCTCAAAGGGCATGCTGTTCCAAAGGGCAGGAGACAAGCAGAAAAGGCTCTTTTTCTCAACCCCACCAGCTGGCGGAGTCCGTACCCAGTGGTGGGATTCAGCCGGTTCGCACCACTTCGGCAGAACCGGTAGCTATTTTTTTGTTGCCCAGGCCCAGAAAGGACTTCCGGAAGCAGCATCCACACAGACAACCGGTTTTTCACATATTTTAATCCCACCACTGTCCATAACATACCTCTTCCGCAGGAGTGAGTGGGGTGGGCCAGTCCCATTGGGTGAGAGTGTTCCTCAGATAGACTGGACCCATGCCATAAAAGGCTTTGAAGATGGCAACCAACATGTTGAATTGGACCCAGAAGCAAACCTGCAACCAGTGCAGTTCCCACAGCACTGGTGT